ATATATATATTATATTATGGAAATATTAGGGGTCTAAATAAACCCCTGATATTTCCCTTTTAAAATAGAAATAGAGATTGAGAACACAGAGTCCTCAATCTCTTTTTATGCATTCCCTCTTATCAATGAACAGGAATCCTCTATGAGTGTTCCTGTTCATTGATAACGAGAATATAGTATGTTTACTATAACCACAATTATGAATGAACAGGAGTGGATATCGATCACTCCCATTCATTCATAATTGAGGATATATTAACCATACCATATCCTCAATTATCTACACTCAGCAATGACTAATCGCTGAGTGTTTGTAGCCTGCTCTCCTCTCTGACACACACTGTCACAGGAGGCTAAGTGAGTGGTGTACAGAGGAGAGCCCAGCTGTGACAGCGCTGTCTCCGCCTCCACACCGATCTGCCGCACTGTGATAGGCGGCCAAGCGGTGTGGGAGGGGAGACACTGGCCGCTCACAGCGCTCTTGTCCCGCAGCGCTCGGCCGGCTGTCACAGTTTTTCTCCTCCACGCTGGGACACAGAGCAGCAACCAGCGGGGAGGAAAGAAATCACAGATGCACCGATGTACCGGCAGGAAAATTGCACTTTCGGCATTTAGCCAAAAGTGCCATTTTCAGCCAATATGCCTTATTTAGGAAAAAAGTTTTCCCTAAACTAAAAAAGCACCTTTCTTGGTGATAGCTCAATCGCAGTTTTAAAGGTGCTGACTGAGCACCCCCCAGAACAACACAGCCTTGCATAGATGCATATAAAGAAATTCTGCACTATGGCAGATGTCTCAAAGTAATAAATATCAAATATAAAAGATGAAAAGCTGCTGTGCTAATTAAGTACATAAATTAGATCAAACAGATGCACAGTGCGGTGCCTCTGTTTGATCTTGCATAGATGCGCTATGCTGTCCCATAGACGCTAAAGCTCAACTCTAGCCAAAACTGTTTATTTAGTTTTGGCTAGAGGATGGGAAGAGTTAGAGACCCCACCAGGTTTTTATTGCTGCATGTTCCCCTGATGAGATTTTCCCTCACTTTCTGTTTCTTTGACACCCCATGCAAGAAATGGAGTGCCCCAGTTGAACAGGGCAGGAAAAGTCTGGCAGAATTTTAGACTTTTGCCCACACTTTGGGATGTCTTTGCTGGAGTTCAACTTTAACACATAACCAGACCCTAAAACTGTACTGTAATACACTGTGTTTGTTGCGTCCTGTTGTCTTTCATCCTGAATGGCACCCCAATGCACATATACAATGAATATACAGTGAATGCTTTATATATTGTGTTCCCTTTCTTGAATTTATCAATAACCAAGCTTAAAGTCCAACTCCGTACATAAAAACCTTACCGGGTTTGGAGCAGTAAACATTTATGCACCCTCTCTTCAGCATGTTAAAACTTTTTTTTACATGTCAGGATTACATTGATGCACTGTATCCTGCTGCACTGTAAGGCTGTTACAGATGTAAGTGCTGCAGGTCTCAAAGACCCCCGCTTTGTCGTCATGTCTCCAATTCCCTCTCCTCCTGGCCAAACATAAAAAGAAGCCTGAGGCTGTTTGCTTTGTGATGGACTGGGAGGAGAGGGTTCAGAGATACGGCCACAGCACCAGGGTCTATGAAAACTGCCTACAAGTACAGCAGAAACTGTACTAATTAGACATAAAATCAAACAAACTATTTTTTAACAGGCTGAAGAGAGCCTGTATGAATGCAAGTTTTAAACCTGGAAAAGCTCCCTTTCCTGGAGTTGGACTTTAACCTTTCACAAAAAGCTATCCCCCTTTTAAATATATAGATATAGTGCTAAAAACTAAGTATACAAACAATCAAAATGTTTTAAATGTGCAATAGATTGTAAATAAAAATGTTATATGAACCACATATAAGTATAAATAAACGCAAATGTATATAACATTAAATATATAAAAAGGTGATATTGTGCAAGTCCACTTCATATATAGCAAGTGCAGACACATCTGGTGCAAAGCATTTGCAGTATTCACAGTAAACTTGTGTCTACCGGTTAGTCAGTGCTCTAAATTGTGCATCCATTCCTTCCACTTAAAACACTTCCTAATGGGACCAAAATCACCAGCTGGAAGTGACCCGTTAAATGAGCAGGACAAAAAGCAATTGTTGTAATGCAAAGATGTAACCTTAGAAAACCAGTGGTATAAAACTCTCTAAAGGTGGCCATACACTCTACAACCATCGCAAGACCTTAGTCTTGCGATGGTTGTACAGGGATTAAAAAAACGTACAATCTGCCTATCTTGGACAGGCAGATCGCACTCTTGATCATCGCAAGCCCGTCCCGCTGAGGGGCGGGCTTCCGATGACCGCAATGCTGAACGGGCAGTGTGCGCGTGCACACCGGCCCGTTCGGCATTTGTCTTCCGAGCACCGTTCTAACCAGCCGAGAATCGAACGATTCCCGGCTGGTTTTCGAACATGCTGGTTCGACGGAAGACGTGCGACCGTACAGTAGAAACGGTCGCACGTCTCCGTTCACACTGCTCGATTCTCGTACGATCGCAGGATTTCCCGCGATTCTCGTACGAGAATCGAGCAGTGTATGGGCACCTTTAGAGCACTGATTTAACAAGATAATAAGCTCTAGGAGTTCAATTAGCTGTATATCACACAGGTGGCAGTGATTTAAACCAAAATAGTGTTTCCTTAACACATTACTTATATTAAATACTGCAAAGTCAATGTGATGCATTTTTTGTGTATCTTGTCAACACATCAATGTAAATAAATACATATTGTGATGTAAAATACAAGCTGCTGTATTAAAGACCGCGGGGGTCTGAGGATGTTTAAACCAAATTAACAGCGCTAGTAGGTGAATCAAAAAACCATATAATCGTGTTTGTGAACTACAAATCATACGAAAACCACATAAATGCAAGTGCTGTTAGTCAAATAGACTAGACTGATCCACTTTATTTTTATACACTGAGACACTTAGAAGCACTTGGTTAAAAATCACCTCCTAATTGTACACATGTTTATTAACTATTACAGTGTCGTGCTTTTTATTTGACTAACGGCACTTGCATTTATGTGGTTTTCGTATGATTTGTATCTCATAGAACACTACTGGATAGATCGCTCAATCCAATGTGTTCACCACACCACAGACCTTTTGTGTGCATGCATCCCATCAGTGTGAAGTCATCACCATGCTCGTAGCCTTGTCTTACGTGATTTGTCAAAGACTTTCCCAGTAGTGGACACCAGTTTAATGTATATTTAAACTGTATTTATATATGTATAACCTTTTACATTTTTGGGTATTTATACATCAGCTTTAGTAATTAGGTTGGAAGTGCAGACCATACATTTTTAACAGCGTCCAGCTCACTTCACTTCGACTCGGTTATTCACTCTGCTGCCTTCGGCAGCTAAGTGAATAACCCCCTTAATCTATGACTGTAAGGGCAGAACTCAACCTATCCACTATCAGTGGTAGGGGACCTTAACATTTTATATTCTGTAGAGAATCTCTGTCTCTGTAGAGACAGATAGGAATTGTGTATTTTCTTAGCTGCACGGACTTGTGCAGTTTACCGCTGCTGTACTGGGAACTGGGCCACTCCTGCATTTTGCTATCTAACATTTATTTGAACTTTAAAAAAGCTATCACTGTATACAAAACAATACATCTTTTTATTTACATTTAATTTTGCAGTGTTCAGATTTAAGTCATCTTCATTATCTCACAGCTCTGCCTTATTTGTATCCTGATTGTCTGATGCCTTGTGCATTCTCTTTTTAGGCTATATTCATCTCACAATCAGAAATCAGATCTTATTATCCCAAGGGTTCATCTGCAAATTGAAATGCATGCAGTTAATCAGAAAATCTTTTGAATGATTGAGCAAATGTTGTGTTTTGATTAGCATGCATAGTAATCCTGATCGTCACTACAGCATAGCTTGTTCTTGGGACAAGGAAATGAACACATCATTCTAGAGATGTTTCCATCAATCCTGACTTAGAGTACTGAATATGCAGCTTTTGTTAGAGGCGTCTAGTGAACGACCAGCTTTTGTAAAAGACACACAGCTGGCTTATGGAGTTATTAAATTCAAACCCATGAGGACCAATATGGCTGTTATTTTTTGTATTATTAAAGCACCATGTGTTTCAGTTACTCAGTTTTTGTATTTAGTTTGTGAGAATGATTTAATGATTAAAAGATGCTTACATGATGCACAATAGTTTACACATCTCACAACTCTAGGTACAACATTGCCTGTCCTGAACACACAGTAAAAGCTTAATCGTTATCAAGAGGAATCACTCATGGGTATGTGATCCATCAAGCCAATCACCTGGTGAATCAGGTGTTTATTCAATACGAATGACTTTTGTGGTTTGCTATGAATGGATGCACATATGAATCATCTGATAGTCTGTAACATGATGTCTTTGAGGCTCAGAAAACTATCTTCAATACTTTCA